CCCCCCCCCCCCCCCCACAGGCGGAGGCCGCTGTCCCGCTCACCCCCCCCCACAGGCAGAGGCCGCTGTCCCGCACACGCCCCTACCCTCCAGCAGATAAAGGCTACTTTCCCGTTCCCATTCACCACCCCCTATGGCGGGAGTCAGAGGCCACTGTCCCGCTCACCAACCCTATGACGTCTCCACATCTGCAGGTAAAATGGGGTTGGGTTTTGGCAAATCCAGATGGCTCCCCCTAAATAGCCTGTTTGTGCCCACAGGACGTCCACCAGCAGGCAGATGCCGGAGCCTCCACCTCTACAGCGGGGAGCCGCCCAGGCCTGCGCAGGCCAGTCCCAGGGTCAGAAGAGCCGCGTGCCGGCAGAGCATGGTGGCGGCTCCCCAGGGACACCTGGCGCAGTCCCCAGCGGTACCTGTGGTGGGCTGGCGCCCCAATGGCAGGATTGTCACCGCCCCCCACCTCCTGTCCCCTAAACCAGAGGGCGAGGCAGCTGCAGGGCCTCCTCCTCTCCGACCCCAGCCCCGTGCCGTCCACCCCACTGCCTGCCACCAGCACGTGCAACTCCAGCAGGTGACGCTGGCCCTACCTGAAGGGGGAGAGGGTAGGACGAGCAGGTCGGGATGGCCTCGGGCGTCGGGCGGAAGCCTGCGAAGGCCAGAATCTGCTGGGCAGGGTTGTAGAGGGTCTGCGGAGGAATTCCGGGGCCATAGGCCATCTGGGACAGAGGCACCTGCCGCGGAGAGACGGGAGGTCAGCATGCACCCCCCCATGGAAGGAGGGGCTGTGCAGCCTTCCTAGAAAGCCCAGCACCCCTGACCCCCGACACTCAGGCTGGAGCTGACCGCACCCTGGTGTGCGTTTACACTCAGGCTGAGTTACACTTGGGCTGAGTTACGCTCAGGCAAGGTCAGCTCCAGCCTGGACACCCCAGCGTGGGAGGCGAGCGTGGCACCTGTACCAGACACGCATTTCTGTGTCCTGTCTACAATCTGGCTGTGGTTCCTCCTAGGACAGCCAGTGAGAGGAGAGGCTGAGCCGTTGGGCAGAAGCCTTTGCCAGGAGACTGCGTGACCCCAGCAGACCCTTCCCGACCCCAGACTGCCGCTCCCTGCTGTCACTGCAGAGCAAGGACCCCTGGGAGGGCATCTGTCTTGTGTTGGTGTGCAGGAATCTGGGGCCCAAGGTGAGGCCTGGGGGGACCACTGGGGCAGGAGCCAGAGGGCTGGACCTCAGGATGCCAGGGTCACTCAACTTCGCCAGTTTTGTCTGGAAGCGGGAAAGTGCTGAGCAAAGAAAAGGCTGAGGAGCAGATCGCAGGAGGGCTCCAGGCCGAGTTACTTCCTAGTAATGGACAGCCTCTGGGATGGCTGGGGCGTGGAGAGGCTGCTCAGGAGTGTTTGCTGCCTCTCTGGGCAGGGTCTGGCCTGCAGGACCTTCGTCTGCCTGCTGCTGCCCGGGCTCCTTGCGTGGGTGCAAGAGGGGTGCCCCTCATCCCTGGCCTGCCGTTTGCATGTTCTGGGGCCTTGGGCTCCCTCACGCCTGGCTGCCCCCCTCACAGCTTCTCTGTAGGCTCGGGGGGTGGGATTTGCTGGCAGGATGCCACAAGAACATCTCATTTGAAATGGGTGCCAGGGGAGGGCAGAGGAGGGAGAAGGAAGAGGGCGGTGGGCCCAGGCCAGCGATGTCCCTGTGGTTTCCTGGGCAAGGGCCGGCCTCTCGAGGACGGATCCAGCCCAGCTCCTGTGAGGGGCCCTGTTCCTCCCTCCTCCTGCCCAGGCTGTGTGGGTCTTGCCTCTAGGGTTTGTGAAGACACTGGCCTCAGCCCCACCCTGGACCTGCGCATCTGAAGCCCCAGGCAGCTGCTAGACAGGAATTTAGGGCAGGAGGGCTGGGCCTCCCTCTTGGAAGCTAAACTTTGTTTCTTGAGGACAGGTTGTGCCCACCTCAGTGGAGAGGCAAGGATTAAATCAGGTGATTCTTGTGGGACAGGACGGGCCAGTGGTGAGCTGGTATGCACCACTGTCGCCCTGACACCCTGCTCCACTGGCAGACACACGGGCCTCAGTGGCCCATCTGTAAAGTGAGGGCCAGGGACCCCCCAGCCCACCCTGGGAGATGGGCCCAGAGCCCTGGCCCCCGGCGAGCAGCAGGGGTCACACCAAGAGGCCTCACCATGTCCTTGAAGGCCCCCAGGACAGCGGCGGTGATGATGCCCAGGAACAGGCCCAGGACGTTCAGGACTGCAGAGGCCCAGAGCAGGCGGTACAGGTGCAGGACGTCCTGGCAGCTGCGGACACCGACAAACTCGTAGTAGGCAGGTGAGGGCTCTGCGCTGCAAAGAGAAGGCACCACAGCATCCCCACAGCGTCACCACGCGAGCAAGTGACCGCCACAAGTTATACTTGCGGCCGGGTGACCTCTCGACTGAGCCCTGCAGGGCTGGGGGAGGAAGTCAAGGCTGGAGCCCAGTGAATACCTGTCCCTGCGCTGCTCTGGGGGACAAACCTACGTGTGATGGGATTGGTCTGTGAGGCCCCCACCTGCGGCCCACAGTGGGCAAAGAGTGGCCACCGGGTCAGTAGCCCATCCTCTGCTCGATGGCCCACAGGACGGGTGTCTGGGCCCCAGCTGAGCCACCTCTGTCTTCACAGCAGGATGGAAGGCCGTCAGGGTCACGAGCCCCTGTCCTGAGATGGGGCCCAGAGGCTGGGCCAGGTTTAAACTCTTGCCCAACACACGGGCTGTGTCCTCTAGGGCAGATCTACCTCCAGAGCCTCTGTTTTCTTAGCTGTGAAATGTACACAATTTCCTTTCCTCACATAAACATCTAGGAGCAAAGGAGATGATGTGGGTGCAGGGCTGTGGGGGTGATGTTGGGAGGGGAAGCTGGGGTCTCACCCCTGCAGGTGCCACACAGGGGGTCTCACCCCTGCAGTCGCCTTGTGGGGTCTGGCCCTGCAGGCACCTTGTGGGGGTCTCACCCCTGCAGGCACCATGTGTGGGGGTCTCACCCCTGCAGGCACCTCGTGGGGGTCTC